GTCATATACTAACTATGTTTCTCACACAAAAATTATAAACTTTTACTAACTCACACAAAAATCATATAGATCAGAAAAAATAATTTTTTATTAGTATTTTCTTATTTTGTGATTTTTATTTTTATTTTCAATTTAATAAATAATAATCCAATTAAAATAGGGATGACCCTACCTGATCTGGCCCACCCAACCCAGTACCCATATATATAAATTAGAATAATACTAAAAGTGAATAGTAAAATTTTCAAAATATGATACTTTTAGCTTCTTCTTTTTTCAAGATTTTTATTCAAATTGATAGCATTTTTATTTCAAGTGTTCTCTAATTATATGTTTTATTTTTTAATTCTTTTGTCATAATCTCATGCATTCCAAACTAAGTTTTTATGAGGGAAGAATTACCCTTCGTATTATTTTAATTGGCGTATATGGCTATTGGGTCAAGTTGGGTTGGGTCATTCCTATTTTAAGGAAACAATATAGAATTAACCGACCGGTCGAAACTAATTGCATTTGCCAGCCAATATATATATATATATATATATATATATATAGAAAGTGTATGTTATATGTATATAATACATACATATATAAAAAATATTTTATCGGTTATTATTTTTGGGAGGGATAAAAATATACCCATATATCTCCTATTTTAATTGGGGAATTATTTATTAGATAGAAAATAAAAACTAAAAATAAGAAAATAGTACCGAAAATTTTGTTTTCCGACATCTATGATTTTTATGTGAGTTACTGAAAGTTTTATGATTTTTGTGTGAGAAAACAAAGTTGTATGACTTTTGTGAAAAGAAATCATAGTTATATGACTTTTGTGTGAGAAAACATAATTATATGACTTTAGTGAAAATAACTCATAATTATATGGCCATTTGTGAAATTTACCCAATGAATAAGATGGTGTTGAAGCTCAACCATGTAAATTCACCATATCCAAATGGCCCGGAATACATCTCCATTTTCCCAAGTTCTCATTTGAATGGGTGACACATGTCTTATATTAATAGCTATGGTTTGAATTGAATTAATTAAAGCAAACTCTTAACTATGTACTCAAAGTTTCAATTTAAAGAACTCATTTCAACCAAAAACAAAAGGCAAAAAAATCTTTATAACTAGGCTATAAATTATGTTAATAAGTTCCAACTACTCTAGGTTTTATCATTTATGACAGTGTATTAAAAAGGCACCAAAGTCCATATGTCATTAAATCCTGCAATTTCTAGTCAATTATTTAACATGAACCAATTTAAGGTCAAATACATATTAAACCACACCAATCATCGACGACAACGCGTATTCAGTAGATAATTTAACGTTTTATTTCATAACATAAACAACTATATCCTCCAACTTTAATTGTCCAAATTAACAACTCATTAGTTTATATTCACATAATGGGCACAGTAGTTTATATTCGTGATTATGTTAGAGGACCCATATAAGATGTTTTTAATTGCCTATCTAAGATTTGGTCAATTTCATATAAAGAAATTATAAATGAAAGTATAACCACTTGTACTAAAGGCATATATCTCTTTTTAATTGCCTAACTAAGAATTATTTTACAGGTTTGCTTTTTATGTTTGTTTTCTTCTTTCCTTTCATGGGCATCTGCATGTGACACTGTGGACTTTGGCTACCTAAAGACAAGTATTATTGGCAGGAGTGGGCATAGTTTGGGCAAACTCGAAATCCAAACCAAAACCCAACTTTTTTTGAATTTTTGGATTATGAGTTGGATTTTGGATTAAATTTTTAAAAATTTTGGATTTTGGATTTCGGATTGGATTTGGTACTTCGGATATTTGGATATCCGAAAATCCAAAAATTGTATTTTATATTTAGTCAATTATTTACATGCCAATAATAATAAGTTCAATACCCTATCAGTTAGATATTATCTCATATATTCAATATTAATTACTAAGTTACTGTCAGAATACTTTCTATTTGGATATGATTTTACTATTGCTACTTCTTAGCGGTCATACTAATATCTCTGTTGCATTTTCTTGATAATAATTTCATTATGTGAATACTTTATTTGGTTGATTGCGGTGAAAATGAGGAACTTTTCAGGCAATTTAACATGGGTATTTTATTTGGATAATCATCTTCGTAAAAAGAAGAAACATCTCAACTTATAAGCTCAAAACCGAGAATTCAAAATATCCAAACCGATTAATCCGAAACCGAACTTTAAAAATCCAATTCCATCCGAGCTTATTTGGATTGGATTTGGATTGTCATTTCTTCAATCAGAAAATCAAAAATCCAAACCGAAATTTGCATATCCAATCTAAACTGCCTGAACGCCCACCCCTAATTTTTGGAAGATGGGATCCAGAATTTAAATTTTACGGGTTTAATATTAAAGGTTTTCTGCATTGTATTTATTATATTTTTAAAGTTATAAGTTCATATCTACTATTTATTATAATTTAAATAAATTTTTACACATAGATTTACGCTTCACCTCGAAAGTTATAGGTTCAATTAAACCAGCGACTATAGTGCTACATCCGCCACTGACTATCGGATGGTATATTTCCCTTTCATACTACAGCTATGCAAATAGAAAAGTTAATTATACAAGGACGATGGTTAGTCAAGTAATGTTAATATAGATTACTAAGCAATAACATGGTATTAGGCCAAAAGTGATATTAATGTAATATACTTGTCAAATTGCAAAGGAAAAAAAATTCTTTTACTAGGCCGGTCAAATTTAAATATGATAATAAAAGACCTGACATTAATTCCATCTTCCTTGTTACGTACGATAGACCCTTTCCCAGACTCCGTGTATCGCGAGAACTTAGCACACTATTGTTACGTAATGAAAATATTGCACATACTAATATTCACATTGTATAAGGGGTTTACAAGTGTTATTTAAAATTATAAAGCTGCATCTGTAATTAAGTCATATACTAGTCTTAGGGTACGCGCTTTGCGCGTGTAGCTATATCAATGAGTATATAATTTTAAAAAATTACGTAAATATTATTAAATAATATATTTGAGTTATTGAATAAAAAATAAAAAAATAATTTATTTATTTTTGCATTCGGGATTCGTGCCTTTACAATGATATAGAAAATAGAGATACTTTTTAAAACTCCTTCTTACTCGAATAACATCTTTTTCTCTTCATCGATTTTTCGCATAATATTTAAAAATTATATTTAATTATTAGAAAAATAGTTAATTAAGTACATACATCTTAATTTAATAGTAAGAATATATAGTGTCCTTCCCTTAGAATTATAAGTTCAAATATATTTCATATAAAAATTGTCGTAAACAAATATAAGCAAAGGACAATGTAATACTGTTATTTCTCCCCAAACAATATTTATGTTAAGACAATGTAATATTGCTATTTCTCCCAAACAATATAAGTAAATGATAATAGATCTTTGTGGTCTGGGCCTTACCTGGACCCTGCACATATAGTGCACCGAACTTTCTTTAATATTTATATTAAAGTCCTAAATATTAGGACTTCCTACATAATTTAACACAAGAAATATTTTATAACCAAATTAGTTGATTTCAAAGTACTTTATATTACGATAATAACTAAATTACGATTTTGTCTAATGTGAAGTTTAATTTTAAATGGTAAAAAAAGGCGAACAATATTTCATTAAGGGCCTTCCTGCATTTAATATAGATAGATAGAACGATATGTAAGTTATTATGTATTCTAGAAATTAATCAATTTAGTAGTGTACTTGATTAATCTTTTTTTTTTAACGTTTCAATTTAAAATCCTACAAATGATATGGAGATTAGACGTGGTAAAAAGAAAGTATTATTTTTCCTTTTGAAACAAAAGTCTTTATTGTATTAAAATCACGTCTTCCTATTGCAAATAAAATTGTAATACAATCTAATAAGGAAAGATTAACAAATTAATTCTAGTTGATTTTAAAGTTCTAACTTTAGGAAAATTAGCATAAATGGTAATTGAATGTTTATTCCTAAATATTAGGAAGACAACTTAAACTACAATTTTATCTAGTGTAAAGTCGATTTTTTAAGGGTAAAAAAGGCGAACGACATTTCGCTAAGGGCCTTCGTGCTTTTAATATAGTATAGATTATATAGGTTTTAATGTACGTAATTTATGTTATTTTCTAATGATTGAAAAAAACATATATACTTATACCAATTAATTATAGACGTGACTGATATCGGCATGTGTAAATTGTAATCATAAACTTTAATTCATACCAAGATCTTGAACATGATAATCTTACATATAATCGTTATAGAAAACATACCTGAAGCGGAATCCATTATCGTGAAGCGGAAGCGTTGATTGAAATAGGTTTCTCGCCCCTTGCCCTAGCTTTACGTTACCGCCGACTTTAGTGATAGAAGAAAGAAAATAAAAAAAAATATGGTAACCCTAATGGGTGGGGAGAGGACCAATTTATAGAGGTTCTCACTTAATCTGGTTCGTCCATCAAGTAACCAATCGGACGGATGAGATTTAATAATTAATTAAATATTAATTATGGGCCTTAACCTATTGGGCCACATATGCATAGGAAAAATAACTTACATTCTCCCACTTGGCCCAATAATCACATAATATTAATATTTAATATAGGAACATTAGTTGCGCATAAACAAATCTCTTCTATAATGTCCATCATAAATACCATAATACGATAAACTACTAAATGTGAGTTATGGCGGTTATATATAATTCATCTAAATACTCCCTTCCATATACTACAACATTAGCAACTCATCGTATCAGGTCCATAAGCTATAAAATATTATGGTCCACAATAATATCTCATTCAGACTTATCCAGTAATATCTCAAACAATAATGTGTACACCATTATGAGAAACAGGAGATCATTAATGTATATCATAAACATATAAATGAGCTCAGAGTGTCAAAACATCATAAATACATCAATCATAAATACAGCCAAGACCCATTCTATGTACATGTTCTTTAAATATCTTCGGCTGTAAACCTTTCGTCAACGGATCTGCAATCATGAGATCAGTTCTAATATGCTCAAGTGACACTCTTTGTTTCTGAACTTCCTCCTTGACGGTAAAGTACTTTAATTTTATATGTTTGGCACCTTTGGAGTACTTATCGTTCTTGGAGAAGAATACTGCTGCAGAATTATCACAGTAAATTTTCAGCGGCTTGGTAATGGTGTCGACAACCCCAAGTCCTGAAATAAAGTTTCACAGCCATAATGCATGAATTGTGGCTTAAAAACATGCCACAAATTCTGCTTCCATCGTGGATGTAGCAATGACAGACTGTTTGGCACTCTTCCACGATATTGCTCCTTCAGCTAATTGGAACAAATAACCAAACGTGGATTTTCTAGTGTCAATACATCCAGCGAAATCTGAATCCGAGTATCCAATAACTTCCAAATGCTTGGATCTCCTATACATGAGCATGTAATCCTTCGTTCCTTTCAGGTACCTCAAAACTTTCTTTGCAGCTTTCCAGTGATCAATTCCTGGGTTACTCTGATATCTTCCTAACATTCCGACCGCAAAACTAATATCCGGTCTTGTGCAAGTCTGAGCATACATCAGACTACCAACAATTGAAGAGTAAGGAATTGATTCCATTTCCTTTCGTTCTACATCATTCTTAGGGCATTGCATGAGACTAAATTTGTCCCCTTTTTGAATTGGAACAATTCCTGCTGAACAATTGTTCATATTAAATCTCTCAAGAATTCTTTCGATATAGCCTTTCTGAGACAATCCCAATAATCCTTGCGATCTATCACGGAATATTTCTATTCCAATCACATAGGATGCCTCACCCATATCTTTCATTTCAAAATTCTTAGAGAGAAAATCTTTAGTCTCACGCAATATACCTAAATCATTAGCAGTAAGTAGAATATCATCAACATATAGGACTAAAAATATAAACTAAGGCTGCTCGGTGGGCCGGGCCTGAACCGGACCGGACCGGGCCCACGGTCCTAACGGTCCTGGTGGTCCTCAGAAGCCCGTGACAGGCCGGTCTTCTAGTATGAGCCCACGAGCCCGGGACCGCTTAGCCCGGGACCGTCAGCC